CTAAAAACAGAACTTGAACAATATGCAGTTCATGGTTCGGACACTGTGTGTGGATGTTCACTTAGAATTTTCCTTTCAATTACAGTAAATCCATAATTATAAAAACAATACTGATATTTGCTAGTACTTAAGAATTGACCGAACACCATTTCAGTTATTTGACAATTGCACAGTCAATTACTGTGGTCAAATTTATTCTTCAAAAATTTTTATCTGACAAAGTGGTGCTGGAAATTTATAATATCTGAATAAACTAACTCAAAAATTACATTAGCTCACTGGTTAGTAATCTAGAGAGAAGTATTTTTGAAAAAAAAAAGAGTAAGAAACCCAATTTAACAAAAGGACTATGAAGTATAAGGGGCTGCCACAGTCTTAAGCCAGCACAAGGAAGCTGGCATACCTTACTAGTGTAAGAGAGACAGAAAAGCTTTTTGTTAAGTCCTGGATGCAGAATTTGCAGATAGGCAGCAAATCTGAAATGCTGGGCTTACCACATTAAGGTTGCTCTTAAGTCTGACTGTCAAAAACAGTCCTCTCTGCCCTTAAGATATAAAGTCCGCCCATACTCAAACCAATTGTGCAGAGCAGTGCAGATTTACTGCAGGTATTGACAGTGGTACTTAAAACCCTCTACCTAAAATGCAATTCTAGATTGTATGCTGGTGGTAAATGCCTGAAAGTCAGAATTGCAGTTCTCAGTCTTGCAACACTGACTTTTCAAAGTAGCCTAATTACAAGGAGAAACAGTTTCTTACCTGACCTCAACTCTAAAGAACAAGATTTGTTTATTTACAATGTTGTGTAATATATACTTTATATAAAATATGTAGAATACTTTAACCTAGAACTCTTGAGAATTTTCCTGCAGTCTCTGAATGGAGTTCTGAAGTTGTGAATTAAACAGATAAACTATCTATTGCAGGAAACAGTATCTCCTCCTCCCTGAATATTGCTGGTACTTAATGTCCTGTACTGGTCCCTCTGTTCTGGTATTATCAGGTAAGGATACAGAAGTCTCTGTTGTGTAACTAACAATGTTAAGTATACAGTCAAATCGCATTAATCAGTATGCAGCGAATACATATTCCAAAACTGTTTTTCTGGAAATAATTTACTTTGTGGGAGAGAAAAATAACATAAAACTTTGCAGGTCTTTCATAACACAAGGCATAGTGTTCTAACCACTCAAGGAGCCTAAAAAAACCCCATGATGTGCTACAGACCTGAATATGTCTTCTTTGCAAACCCTTCTTTTCTTTTTTCTTTTTTAAGCAAGGGGTAGCTCTGCAGTAAACATTTTGCTGCCACTATACTTTCAATCAGCAGATGAATAGGTTTCCTTCATTACGCTTTTAGCCAAACACATAGCACATGCAGAAGCCAGAGGAGAGGAAAGGAAGGAAAGAGAGAGATTGATGCTGGTAATAAAAATTCTGAGATACAAATGAAGATAAAAAATGGGGCCATTGCATACTACTTCCTATAAGTAATCACACAAATTAGGATACTATGGACCTTCTTTCATTGGTCAGTCAGTTTTACATAAAAATACTCAAAACAGTATTTTTAAGATACAAGCTGAACTCAAAAGACTTAAAAAATACAAGATGTAAAGATGATCTGATCTAACCGATTTCTTAAGTGAACTACTTACTGGTATTTAAATTAGATTTACTATGTTTTGTAACTACTGGATAAAGAGTAAATTATAGATGTATTACAGACATTCTGCACTGTACAAGTGCAAAGTTGGCATCATTCCTAATTAATATTTCCACTCTTAGAAAGATCATTTAAGTACTCCGGCTAACAGTAACAAATATTACAAGCATAAAGCTAACAGGCTTTTATGAAGTGGGGAGAAAACTTTATTGCATATCATGAAATTCAAAGAGAATATGAATTTATATTATATTGCTACACCATTTTTGAGTATTAAAGCTCTTACTTCTCTTGCCATGAGGGAATCCTTTTTAAAGAAACTCACTTTGATTTAATTGACTTAAACCAGAGACAGCTTCTCATTCTAGGTCAGTGGAATTGTTAAGGTGCTGACTGAGGGTAGGTAAGTGTGTAATACTACTACCCTATAATGCCTGAAGTTCAGCTAACTAAGAAAAACTTTCTGTACCTAAAGGTAAGTAGAAGATTAAAAAAAAAAAATTCGGCCCATTCCTCTCAAGTCAACATCAGTTGACCATATCCACAGTTTCACCAGTGTAACTGACGAAAATAAGAGTCAGTGAGTCAGTGAAAAGATGCCTTCTCTAATTATTGGACTCTTAAGATGGAAAACAACCTCTACAAAGAAGATTCTATTTAGAAAATTAGGGAGCGAATTCCACCTTAAATTCTTTGCAATGAGAATATACAGCACCCAACTTTGCCTTCTGCTGGAAGATCTTTTAATTCTTCAATTGAAGATCTTAAATTGATTTTATGTAACAGCAAAAAAATCCCTGATAGTATACTCACTCTCCTTTTTGTCTACCTTAGTTCTATGATTGCCAATGTACTCAGTTCAAGAGCTTTTCTCAAAAATTAAAATTACAAGAAAATTTCTTGAAAGATGAATCTGCGATGTCTATTTCTGGTTACAGAACTTGTTTAGATCAAGTTATCTTTTATTTTGTCTTTTGCTCTACATCTCAGATGGCACATTTGCTGAACTGCAACTCTATTTCTCTTGCCTATGTGCTCCTGGCATTCTTTGAAGGTCCAAAGCGATTTGTAGATAACTTGGACATGAAAAAATTAAGAAGCTCTGAAACTGTTGCTTAAGAATCAGCTTAAGAAAAATATTTCCTTGGAGTAAGAGCCACAGAAGTACATGTAGACTCAGAGAACTCTGGAATCCTATCAAGAGTGTGGTCCTTTTTTTTCCCACTGACAAGACATGCAATACAAAACCAATCCTTTTCTTACCCTTGATCAAACCTAACAGCTTTTAGGACTCTATTTAACAGTATCTTAATTTAAGAGAATTTTTAACATATCAATTAGAAGTCAGGAGGTTGTTAACTTACTGCAGCCTATTACTTTTTACAAAATAATAGCAGGTGACAGCAGTTAAGTAAGCTTTGTTGGACACACATCTTGTAGTTATAAACTACACTACATATCCCTTATGGGATAATATCCGGGTAATACCCTTATACTATAGCCTGATAGCTTTGGAGAAGGTTAAATAGTTTTTGGAATCTGATCAAGAAGGAGACCTGTATATACTGATTGACAAGCCACTAAGAAAAACATTTGTTGTTCTTTCAGTGATGCCTCCAGAATGTGAAAAGGACATGGCTGAAGTTGCAGGCAAAGCAAGAGTGCAATTTCTCTGAAAGTGGTAAATTTCCTTCATAATTTCGAAGAGAATGTTGACCATTTTTGCAGGAGAGAACTATCATAGTGGGAGTCTTGGGAAACAATGTGACATCAAGCTGGAATGCCATTTGATCCAGAGCTGCTTTTTAAATTTCATATAGATCATTCAGAAGAATGACTGGTCAAGTAAAGAGGGCATTTGTCTTGCATCTGTAAGTGCTAGATTTTATTTTTTGCTCTTTGCACTAGCTTAGAAAAAAAAACACTGTCTTGGTATGTGTGTGAGTATATTATTACCTATTTATTCCATATTGGTGTTTTGATGATAATCATGATGAAAACAGCAAGGCTTTCATACAATACAGTAATGAAGCCCAAACTGCAATATACATATCAGGTGCCTTTAAGAACATATACTTGATAATCTTTAAAACAACCTGTCTGCTGGTAGAGCTTGACTGCCATTATCTGTCTGTGACAGAAAATCTGATAAGCATTTTTCTTCTCAATAACTTTTTATAAGATCTTTTGCCTGTTCATACACTGAATGTATAAAGCTTTTTATTAATAGGGATAAAGAAGTACTAGAAATGATTGCTTGAGAATGAAGTTTTAGAGAACAAGTGAGATGCATATCAGCAAGGTATTGCTTATACAAAGTTAATCCTGCTTAGGGACAGAGTAACTGAGTAGGTGAGCTCCTTATGTTTACGTTTTGTATCACACTCATTAATAGCACATTAACATCAAGTTTAGAACTTGTCCAATAGTATGAGATAGGGTGAACTATCTTCTTTATAGGATATCTTGTTAACTTTGAGGGATTCTTTTAAAATACAGAATAAATGATCTCTGTGTTCAAAATTGATTCATTATTATGGAAAATCTCAAGTCCACCTTTTTGATACTCATTCATTAATCAATTATAAGCTAAAAGCTAAACTTCACATAGTGGGTCATGGCACTAATTTGACAATATTTCGTAAATTCTGATTTTATCCTATGACTTTGTGGATTCTACTTTATCTTAATATCTTTCCCCTGAAAACAAGGTGTGAAAAGCAAGTCATAAATAATATATATATATATATTTTTAATTTTAATTTCAATAAAATATATTTTTATTTTCAAATCTTGCTAAGCTGGTACTATAGCTTATTATAGAAGACTATAGTGAAGTTGATATGGAATTATTTACAATAATATATGTATTTTGGGTACACAGTGGACCAAGCCAGGATTTTGGGAAATAATAATGAAATTCATATATCCCTAGGCAATCTATATCTAGACAAGAAATTAACTATAATGTGATGGTCATTTTTACGGAGTCCTTCCAGTTTCACTGCATCTTGCTATCTGGACATCTGTAAGTCTTTTATTATTCTCCTTTTTAATGTAGCAGAACTAAAGATTCTTTCATTAAATAATTTATGTTTGTATGCTACGGAGTTGTTGTCTAGTTGGACTATACATTACGGTGGTCCCAGACTGGTACAGTGATTTTAAAACCACGCTGAACATGGTTGCAGATTGATCATGCAAAGTTTGCCCCCCAAGCTGATTTTTCCCCATTTGTGCACAGTGCAATGCAAAAAAATAAAAAAATAAATAAAACCAAAGAAGTGTGATGGGAGAGCAGGTCGACTGTGTGAGAGAACACGTGCAAAGTATACCTCAGAAACACTATAGGTGGATGAGCACGAAGGGAGCCGAGCCTGGTTGTGCAGTGGGGAAAAGAAAACACTGTTAAAAAAGAAATGGTGGCACAGTAAGGGTCTCAGAAGGTTTTCTGTATAGGTGGTTCCAGCACTGAGACAGTAGCAGGGGGTTCATTAAGTTTCCACAACCAGCTATTTCAGAAACTACAAATTTATGCCTTTTAAGGTGGAAGCTTCTTAAAAGAAAAAAAAAAAGGTATTGCATTTATAAAGTAATTAGAACTAATGATGAATCTGAAGAAAAGTGTCAATCCTCCCTCTATGTAATTGATGACATGACTAGAAATCTATACTTAGGACAGTAAGGTATTCTAGAATGAAGCTTTACCAATTTCTTCGATTTGACGTAAGTTTTATTCTAACTTTGCAAAGGTACAATGTGAAAACACATTAGAGTCCTTTTTCTTCCCCATATATCTTTATGTTTTTAGATGCTCAGAACCAGCACTTTGGTAATTTAGGTTTTTCTTCAAACTCAGTTCCCCCAAAACCAGAATAAATTGCAAAGTTAAATGACTAATGGCCAGATATAGGTCAGCAGAAATCTGCAGATTATGTCTCTAAGCAATGTACACAGATGTGATTCCTGAGGGACACTGTCCACTGTCAAAACTTTTCAGCACAGCCACAAGTTAATTGGTAACACTACAGTTTTACCAATTGCTTAGGAAACACTTTGCTTATTTATATGAAATACACATTTTTCCATACCAGTAAGCCACTCCTAGATCAGACATAACTCAAATATTAAAAAAGGAGTCTCTGATTATTCATAGCATTTGTTTTTCTAACATAAATATGAATATATATATATATATTGGCTGAAAATATTTCCTGTTTTAATTACAAAGAGTAGTCTTTTTTTTTTTCCTTTACATTTGTTATATTTATGATCTGATCACTACTAGCAGTAAATACTAAAAACAGCCTAATAAATGAAATTTAAAAAGACATGGTTCCTATAAGTGCATTAAAAATCTCTCCCTTTTTTTTTTTTTCCTGGGGGTGAAAAATTAAGTATCAGAATTCCTCGCAAAAATTCCTTAGATTTCAGCAAAATTAGTATCTGTACAGCACTTCAGATACATTTATGGTAAAGAACCCAGCAAGAATTTCCACATATTATTAGCAACCACTTACTGATTTAGGTATTATGAAGGACTGGTCAGAGAAGATGCTACTCATAAAAAGTCGCTCATGAACATTCCTCAATCTCAAATGTGTATTTCATAGTTCTTCATTGAAATGTAAAATACCCCTTTCAGGAAAAGTTTACACTTTGTCTCCATTCCATACTTCTATAGAGCTGTTTTTCCTTCAATGAAAATGTTTAATGCTCTCACTGAAAGTATTTTTGTTCCTTTCTGGTATTCTGTACATATGTCATTTACTCTAACTAGGTAACATCACTAATGTAATCTGAATGACTTCACATGTTAAATGTTTATACACACAGTACTTTCTTCACCTGATGACATTTTCTTATGAGAACATGGTATAGTGAGATGGTTTGCAGAAGAACTAGGTCACAAAGAGAAAATTACTTCAGAAAAATAGAGCAGAAAATGCAGTTTTAAGAAATCAAGTATTATTCTTAAACAGTCTATTTTGTAAAAAAAAAAAAAAAAAAAGAGAAAGAGAACCCCTTTCAACCAAATACAAAGCAAGAAAGCAAGAGACGTTTTTAAAAAGACTGCTCTGAATGCTTTGCAAGAAAGATAAGGTGTGCTTTTGCTTAGAACAGGGGTTCTGCTATTCACCTAAGACTTTTGGATGAGTGTCCAAGCAACATTCTCATCAATAATGTCCAGCCGTTGTTCCCATGTTTTGTTTTGCAATGGCATGGAAAAAGAAGATCCATTAGCCTTGATTTTGAGGGTAAGGATACAAAGAATGTGCTAAGAGCAAGAAACATCACAGCAGCAGTTTTTAAAGCATTAGCAACTAAATAAATCAAAACAGCAATGATAAGGAGGTTTAGACTTCTACTGCACAAAATTTGGAAGAATTTGGCTTATCTGCCTACTCTTCACACTAACTTACAAGAGGTATGCTAGATACTTTTGCACCTCTTTCATCTTCTCTTGGACATCTACTATAAGTGGACTGCTATTACTCTGTGATCCGATTATCTGTATTTTCACTTGTATCTAGCCTAAACTTACCATTTAACTTCGGTCTTATTCCAAATTAATAATAATATTCTTATTATATTTAATCACTTCAAATGATTCTTATTTTCTTATTTATAGTTTCAGTGATACAGAAGCACATTATAATATTCCCCTCACTAAGATACCTGTATATTTTATTTCTCCCTGTGCTCAAACACCACCCTCCCTATAGTTTTCCCTCAGTCTCACTCACTCAAATTTCTGTTTTTCTTACTCACTCATGTATAGACACTGAATTTACCTATGCCATTTTTTTGTAATGATGAAATGGAAGGTATGCTCAATGGTTCTAGTCTCAAAATGATCTCATTGTCTTCAGGAAAGGATTTTCAGTTCTTACTCTCACATACCACAATTCTTCACACAGTCACTGCTGTTTATTTTCAATGGGATCACATGATGAGACTGTTTAATCTGCTGCATACTTATAATTTCCTGATTGTTTTTATGCCATTGCTGTCTCATTAACCTATCTCCTTATTTGAGCATCTGCCTGATTTCAGTATTTTGTAATCTGATGTTAAAATTAAATGTCAATACTTTTGTAAGCTCCTTTGATGATCCTGCAATCTATCACCTACTCTGCTTCCAACCTGTTGTCATATATGATGTCTAGTGATTGATCTTTTGACTCTTTCGTCCAGTTTGAGAGAGGGGGCATCTCTCCTTTTATTTGTATGTTATCTGACAATCCCTCCGTGTTATGTTTGATGAAGATAATGTGCTAACATTTGAGCTGCTTGGCTTTTTTTTCCCCATGAACATTCATATTAAGGGGGACCAAATTTCTGCTAGTCACAGAAATTCCCCACTGCAAGGATTATTTTACACCAACTGAGCACCTGTTCAAAGGCTGCAAGAGCCATCTGTCATTTGTCTGAGCGCCACAATACCTTGACTCAGATCTTTAATAATGGAATATTATGACCAGGAACAAAAGCCCCATAAATGTAATCCATCATGATCAAAGAAGGCAGATACTTAAAATAAGATAGAACACTACATGCAGGAGACTGTAGTTTTTGTGAGACAACTCTATGTTAAAAAAAGTGTTTCATGTTTCATTAAACATTATCTATGGACAGAATGTGGTCTCTGCTATGTATTCTGAGAGCTTTTTTCTTGGCTAAACCCAGAACCTTTGATTTGGAACTATTCTGATCAAGGCCCACACAAAAATTGCTTCATATATTACTTTAAACATTGTGCAGAAATTCTGTATTTAGATTTTTATATATATATATATATTTGAAAGGATTTCCATAATATATTTATGCAGAATTAAAGCTTGCATTTAAAATGAATCTTAGCCTCCACACAAAAAACAACAACAACAAAAAACCTTCAGAACACAGTCTGAAGCAGTACTGTTCTATTGACTCTATGCTGAACTTCTCCATACTTTCAGGAAGGTACCAATTTTAGGCAGGTGTTATGAGTTCTAAAATATAAACCAGTCAGCTCTTTCACTGTTGATCACCTCAGTAGCTAATGCACTTTGTTATTGCTGCATTAATTTGAACATGTACAGGGATGCCAACAATTCCATGTGATAGAAGACTAATTTTTCTAAACAGTATTTAAGTTCAACTTCAAAAATAGGCCTCTGGGAGGTTCAAAGGCTAAAGCCATGGAAAGAACTGGAAAAGCTTCAAGGAAGATGAGTGAAGATCTCAAGAAGAGACGGAAAGTAAGACATCTGGTGAGGATAACATTTTTTGTAAATGGCTATGTATTACTGCTGATATTAACAGTAATTTTTTAGAATCATAATCACTCAATCCCCCCCAAGACTGCTTAATTAACTCAATGTTTTATGCATGTTTTCAGTGCAGTATTATTTTAAGTATCTGGCAGGTTTTCTAATCTTTTAATGGAATCTGGGGTATTCTGCAGAATTCCATTTCCTACATATTTCTAATGGCCTTTGACTTTAATGTGGGAAACACGTCTTTGCAATTCATTCTGAAACAAAGGTTCCACCTTAACAGCATAGACAAATGTGCAATAGCATTATATGTTCACTTATGGTGCTGGCCATCAGATACTATACGTTCCCCCTCCCATACCATTCAATACATTTGCTACGTTGTAGGAGAGTTAATAACTTACATCTAAACCCCTTTCCAAAAACAGTATGGAAGACAATGAAAAGCATTTTACAGATGAATTATTAACAGATCCCTCATTATTTTCTTTCCAACTGTCAACTGTTTAAGAAGGATTTATTCTATTATTTAATCAGGCATTTGTATATTGTCTTTTAAAATGTTGCCTTGTCTAAAACATCCACTATTACAACTTGAATCACAGTGGCAGTGAAAAGCAACAGTTTTTAATTATGTTATTATACTTGCAATGTTTCCTGTTTCTTAAGTTTTAAGAAACTTAAAGGGCATATGCAGAATATATGAAATGGTTCTTAGCTCATGATCTGACTTCCTTAATGACACTGCGTAGGGTATGGAAACACAATAGATAAAATGGCACAAAGGAACAGAACAGTTTCATGTCGATTAGTTCTCATAATATCTACAGTTAACAGTGTCACAGCTTTTCATTTGAAACTTTTCCCCATGTGACATTCTATGGAATAATGTGAGACTAAACCACTGTTTTTGTAGTACGACGTCTCATGGCATTTTTTTCTGACTTTATGTTTATTCACTAGTACTACAACATGAATTTAAGAGTGAGGAGTCTAAAATAAAGGATTTGCTTTGTTTTGATTATCACTAAGAAATTTAGCATGTCACCAAACCTAAAATATCACACTTTATTCTCCCAAAAATGTAATTCTGGAAGAATTGCCACTGAAAAGATACAGTGTTTTCACTGAATGTATTTTATAGAATGCTGCAATGTATTATCAGCTCAGTTTTGAATTTGAACTGTGAAAAGATCACAAATAAGCTCAAGGACTTCTATTTGACAGTGAGTGGATATCAGCTATATGTCAGATACATAGCTGGATATGCAAAGGCATCCAAAAGGGGTAAAAATTACCAAATCATTATCATTATCAAAATTATCTTTCACTACATAACCATGGTGGATTATGCATCAGAATGGCAGTATTGAGAATAATGACAACAGTCATAGTGTATGGAAGACACAAACAGAACATGAATCTAAAGAACTTAATCTGAGAATCTTCACAGGCTAGATGTTCAAAGGGATAAAAGGCTATAACTTTTACATCTACTGTACTCCTAACTGTCCCTTTTTTCTCATTTTCATTATACATCAAATTATGTCACTTAAACCAAAATTACTTTTACCAAATTAATTGCTGAAAGGCTGATCTGAACTTATGAGGTGAAATACTAAATGTAAGGTACTGGTGCCTGTATTATGTTACATTTGACTAGCTTTCTAAAATATTTCTGTGAAAAATGGTTAACTTTACAGGAGTTTCATGACTGATAAGCTAGATCCTGATCCTTTTTTCATGTTCATTTTTTTTCAAATGCAATGAATAAGACATGCTGCACTTTTTTTTTTTTTATATTAGAGGAGTCTGCTAACAAAACAACCAACAAAATTTGCAAAGCTTGCATTGAACCAAATGCTAACCTATTTTGTGAGATAATGTAGGGACCCAAAAAGATTAAAGGCAAAGATGGGGCAAATATAAACATATACTTTTGGTTTACCTTAGATCAGCCATAGTTTTCAGTTCACCTAAGGCTATCAATCACAGGCAAAAGATACAGTTCTCCTCTAAACTAAGGATACCTATTTCATTTCTTGCTAAACCTAATATTCAGGAAAATTTTACACATACAACTTCAGTTTTGGAAAGGGATTTTTTTATCTGGTGTTAAAGTCAAGCAGTTTGATTAGCATTCATTAAAATGTAGTAGGATGTTCTTTTAAACAAATCCTGTCAATTAGGTCAGGTTTCTCAAACACATTAAAAATGAAATCCCAGCTAGAAAAGAAAGAAAACACAAAGGGAAGAAGAGAGTGAAAGGAAAAAGATGGGCATGAGAGGACAAACCAATCAGATTTGGTGTTACCAGCCAGCGGAAGTTTTAAAAAAACAGATCACCGAGTGAAATCGTACATTTACTCGGAGAGAGCATCCTTTGACATTGCCTTCTAGGTGATCTCTGAGCTCCTCCAGCTTTCGATGGAGCTACATGTAAACATCAGAAAATGAATTGAAAAAGCAACCTGTTCTTTTGTCATGTTTTTGTTTTATTTTTTTTCTTTTGTTCCTCGCTTTACTTTTTAAAATAAATCATAGCATATCACATTTCTCACTGCCTCTGGCAAAACATTTCAAGACATTAAAATGCTTTCAACAACACAGACATACAAGCTCTGTAAACTCAGAAACCGGAAATAAGGTATTTTTACTTGATTAGCGTGGCTCTTTTTTTCACTACAGGAAAAAAAATGAAAAAAATCAAGGGACTGATCATTCTACAGCGTCTGAATAAGCTACATTGTTTGTTGGCTTGTTTATTGTTAAGGCAATGTTCTAGAATATAATTCCATCACAAAGAGGTAAATGTTCATGTTTGAGAACCTCAGATATTATTTCCCATTCTCTGTATGGATATTTATGTAAGATTTTTTTTGTCTAAATTTTTGGGTAGTGAAATTAAATCCTGGGCAGTCAGACACAGAAATAAGAATCCTGAATTAGGCATCAATGGATGTTCATAACATAGTAGGTGAATCTCAGCCTTTAAGTAAGCTACATCTTACACATATGCGTTATGCGTATAGAATTGCATGTGATGACCCATTGAAATGCACAGGCCACAGTAATTACATACACAATTTTCAAAAAAATTGAAATAGACACTGTGGCTGTCTTCTCTTTTCCCCCAAGTACATTCAGTGATACTGAATGTCTACCACTGAAGCAGTGCCTCATTTATATACTGGGCTCTTCTCATCTACACTGTAACTAAAACCTCTTCGCAAAACACAAGATGAAAAGCTAAAGCCTCACAGACAGTGAGGAATGCTACAGATGCTGCAAGGTATAACTTATATAGCAAATATTAACTGGCTTCTTTTCCTACACTGAGATCAATTTAAATGGTGTCATTACTGGAAAGAGGTGTGTAATTAATCTTTCCCCTCCCCTTCTTTATGCTCAGTGAAATAACATTTTCACAAAGAGCAGCTGTAGAGCAGCATTAGAAAACAGAGAGGATGGCTTGTCCTGGAACAAAGGCAATACACACACATACAAAAACAAAACAGAAGATCAAAAACCAAGAAGGCAGGAAAGGCAAGGAGAGTGCAGAAAAAAATGAATTAGTTAGCGCTTCAGAAAGTGCTAAAAGGAAATAAAGTGGAAAAAAAGTGAAAAATTGGGTGGTTGAAAGAGGCAACTGTTGAGATGGAATCTTAACAGAATGGCCTGGACTGCATGTGACCAGCATCTCGGTATAGATTATGTCCTGTGCTTTAAACCATCTATTAGAGTGTAACACTATTCATGGGTGGGTACTGATTTAGGTATCTGCCTGTTAAGTGCTCTAAATATTTGAATATGTCTGTATAAACAGAAAAAGGCAGAAAAGGGAACTAATTATTAGCAAAACAGTGGCTCCATTCTTATTAGTCTCACATGAATCTCTCTCATTTCCTCTTTATTTATTCTTTTTCTTTTTTTTTTTCTGATTTAAAGGCTAGATATGGATGAAATATTCAACTTTCTTGTAATGGTCTTTTGCAGAATTAAATGCAAGAAGTGTGAGCACTATATTTAAGATGAGAAGCAATAGTCTGAAGATGAGTAAGTCACTTCTCTATGTAACAGGCAGTTAAGAGACAACAAATAACATAGATCAGAGAAGTGGTTTAATCATGATCACCAAATTACAGGCACATCAAGAAAGTTGTTACTATCTTGTATTTGTGGTGACATTCAAAGCTTACAAACTGGCAGCCTGCCTTCTGTAGGTTGTTCTATGTGTAGCACAGAAACAAACAAAATGTGACCCAACTGCAATAAGAATACTGAAATAAAAATGATGGGATGGTGAGAGATGGAAAAGCCCCTTCCCTCCCTCCCCTCACCTCCCCCTTCAAAAGGAAAAGTGTAGGCTATAGAAGAAAACTTGCAAAATAAATGTTAGAAACATATTTACTTTGAGGGATCCAACTCTACTAGCAACTCCTTTGCTTTCATCCGGCCGTCTAATTTGCTACAATGGGGGAAGATGGGTAAAAAAGACAGAAGAATAAAGAAAAAGTGAACTTAAAAAAATTTCCACACAATCAGTTAGCAGTACATGCAAGACATTAATTTGACTCTCTGAGACACCTCTAGAGGACAAAGACACAGACTCTCATTTCTGAAATAAATGATGCTTTATCATGTCATTTTAAACTTGCTTTGTTGACCATTTGATTTTCAATATATTACCAATCTGGCACATATTTTGCATGCTGAATTCACTAATAGTTATGAATGAATACATGTTACTTATCTGATTTGGATATGGAGAATAATGAAGTCCTAAAACTCTAACTGAAGAAAAAACCACCCTGTATCTTCTACAAATCATATGATCATATGCTATAACTGGGAGTATCAGGCATAACAAGTATCACCACTGATACCTGGCAGAATGCAATACAGATTCCTGTTGACCCAGGCCTAGAGATTTTAGCCACTGCTATCAAGTTTCCCAGTTAAAAAATATGCTGCCCAACCAGAAAATTTTAATGCCAGACCAACATTAAGTTTTTATTTTAAATATACAACATGTATAAACCTATCACCAATATTTCTTATCTGATCACTCTTCCTTTAATAAGATTGTAAGATTTTTTCCTAGATGATGTAGAGAATGGAAGAAACAAATGAGGTAGACACTCAAAAGGCCTTCTATTGCTAGAAACACACAAAATAATAGAAACACACATTCATTTACATCAAGAGCTCCTTTCAGAATTGCTGAATCCAGTAAATAAACTTTTACCAATAAATTAAACTTGCATCATGTCCCTTGAAGTAGAGAGGAAGAAGACTATAAAAATGACCTTAGGGATACAGGGATATCCTTTCACTTGCTAGTCTTAATCAAGACTGAATTGAAAGCTTCCATTATCTGATGGTTGTTTCAGAGAGTATGTAAAATAAAGTCCCACACAACTGAGGCAAACCTTTCAAACCACACTAACTCTCTTTACTTCAAGAAACCTCAGCAAGGAGCCCAGAGACTGAATGAACTATGGAAATTCAGCTATGCTTTATGCTGGCCAGGACACACTAGCAAAAGCAAAAGTTAGATCACTACTATTTGTTTTTATCTCACCAATGGACAGCTAGAAAATTCCATATGCAAAACACAGTGAACTTGCTTTTTTTAGTTGCACTAGATTCTCAAGAAAATAATGCAACTAAGCAATATATTACTGATTTAAATATTCAGTTCTGATAGGATGTACACTAATAAATTACACTGGAAACATTTATGAAAGTTGTTGCTTTCCTTTCCTAGTTTTACTGCATTAAGATAGTATGTTTTGAACTCTCAAGTGAAACACCCGCACTACAATTCTGGTGAGACTCCAAAACAAACTCTAAGCAACTCCAGTGCAGTGATTGAGAACAAACTGTCATTCTTAAAAAAGATGTGTCCTTTAGAACACAGATTCAGCTGAAAGATATGCAGTTGTAACCTATTTGCTCCATTTTTTTTCCATAAAAAACCAACCCCTCTCCAAAAATCACCCACCCTCAAGAGGAAAAAGAGAACCTTATTTGAAAAGAAAGTGACAGGAGCTAGAGCAAAGGTACGTGGCCTGATATCCCATCTGAAATATTATCAATCCCAGACAATAAGGCATAATCAAGTAAAACAATAAGTCATGCTACTAATTTGAAGCCTTTTCCAAATATAATGTTTTCAATTTTGCTTTGAAAACTGAGAAGTATACAGTAAGAAAAAAATAAATATTGTTAATCTTACATAACAACATGGAACCAGGACGTAAGGAAAAATGCTACATATCATGGAAATTTGGGGAAAAGTTTCAAGTGGTAGCAATTTGCATGTCCTTCAGGGAAACATTTTTTTTTTTCTATTACTTACCAGTTTGGTAGTGTGGCTGCTCAAGCTGTACTGAAGATTTAGGACTTAGTCAGAAATGAGATGGGAGATATGACAGGTGCATATAACTGACATTATTTACTCTTTCTGTCTTCAAAATATATAGAGAAATACGTACACAATCTATACATTGTAAGCAATGAAATTATAAATGCTTGAAAATATAAATTTAAAGGAAATAAGGTCAACTCTTGTTTTACATTCATAGCACAGTCAATTTGCATGGTAACATGTTTTCTATGGGAACCTTGAAATAGTTCAGCATGGAACTTGGATGCTTCTCATGGGATGCATCAGAAAGATATGAATATTGCACAAACTATACTGCGTATGTTCTGGGAGTTAAATAGGGTATTACCAAGAAGGCACAGTAGAACAGGAAAAAAAAAAAAAAGAAACATTTTGTCACGGCAAATGCCATGGAAAGAAATGCAGGTGTATCCTTATCTCTGGTCAACTCCTGTCTAGAAGTTCTAGGAGCTAAGTGATAAACCAGTATTTCAGAAAATGGCCATGGATTATATACTCCTCATTTTTCAGACACTCAGCTAGACACAAGAAGCCATCATAGATGAATCCTTGTAGCTACAAAAGATCAGAATGAAAGATTGTGCACCTAAGTGTTCCAGATCAAAAATACATACACTTCTATCCCCATCAGTAACCTCTGGTTTTGTGATTGCTATTTATTATTTTTATACCATAACGCAAGACAAATTAGTAGATAAAGAGGTGAGGCAGGAGTGACACTAAGTAGCTACTGTCAAAATTTTACCTGACAGAACCAAGGGTTTTGGAACAATATGAAAGAGGAAAAGGAAGATATTCCATTTAATGCAGGAAGAAAGGTGTTTGGCAGGAAACAGTCCTGGAAGATTGGCAGGGTATAATACACTGACAGTTAAGACATGCATTATATATACATCTCTTTCCTATTCACAAAGGAATATCAATAGGAGTTAAGAGGTAAGAATTAGCTACAGGTGTCCCTATCCTGATCTCTGAAGAACAAGGTGGAATTATAACAGGAGAATGATGAGAGACAGGAAGCCTATGGAAGATAATTTAGGAAGCTGGGAAACCAGAACCAAACACTGAGCTCAAAGAGTGCTCAAATATGCTCAATGGTCTTGTTAGAAGATGAATGAAAATTGTGAGTACCAAACACCGGGAGCTTCGTGTTTTCCAAGCAGAGGTCTCATATACATTTCATTATTATTCCTCTATCTTCTAGTAGTGCTGACAAGAAATTGACTTGTTTATCTTTACCCCTGCTTTTACTCTTGTATAATTTACAAAGCCCAACATTGAACTTATATAGACCGGTTGATATAGTCACACATCATAAAGGACAAACAACCAAACCACGGGCTAATCTGAGATTCTGGCCTTAGTTGGGTATATTTAAAGGAGGAGTTCCACAACAGCAGAATTCTTAGCACTGTCCATCTCAAACTCCTTCCACTTCCTGATAATGCATCCTGTTCTTGCTATTCCTGCTTACCGTGTCTGACAAAGAAAGCAGAATTCTGCAGGACCTAGAGATTTCATGAGTGTGTTTTCATATCCACAGTCACCCAAAGCTGAACTTGTCAAACTTTTCTCCAAAATCCTGGCTAATACATGCAGTTCATCCTGTCAAAGCCTTTTTGGTATGATCCATTTATTTAACACCAAAACTGAATAAATGCAATGTTAGCAATGGAAACTCTTTATGGTACTGTTTAAAAAGATGTTAAGTTCTGTATTAAGTGGTTCAGGTATGCAGTGTTGGAACCACGTTAATTAAAATCAAGTGATTATATCACATGGCATCCAAACCTAGTTCAGGTTGTTTGCTGGACACATAAGAGAAACATAAAAGCTATTCTCCTGCTTGACCACTACTTCAGAGATCAGCGATGAATGGTAGGTAAAGAAAACTATTAGCATTACTTGTAGAATATTATCATACTTGATTATTTCACTGGGTTTACAAATAAACATTTCTGCATTTGTCAAATGTGTTAAACTACATATTCCAACAGCTGTGCCAACAACTGTTTTCTTGTTCCTTAGACAAGAAAAAAATCCCCATTAGGTTGCAGCAATAACTCCTTGTCATTGCACCTAACTTAAGGTTCCCTTGAGCTCCTTACCTAGTTGCCTTAAGGACTGTGAAGTTAAATGGTGTGAATATCCTGTCCTGAATCCTAACTCATAAAGTGTAATTGCATCGTATTTGTCAATGTGACTACACATATTGTTCATACATATTTATTAAGATGTTCCTTTTTAAAACAGATTTTTGGCTGTGAAGCAGTGATTTTAACACGCTTGTATATGCTATGAGAAAAGAAGACTTCCTTTGTTTTTCCAGTTTTACCTGCCATTAATTCCTTCCAGTTACTGTTTGATCTTAGAACACTGGGCATCAGGGTAAGATGGGGATGATCAGTTTTGGGAATCTGAAGCAATACATACTGTGCATACAATGCTCCTGCTGTCACTGCTGGACCACTTCCTTTATCAGGTTTCCAAAATATACTCCAAATTTCTCTCTCCTCTTCCCCCCCCCCCCCCCCCCCCCCAAAGGGCTGTTCAAGTGAGAAAGGTAGGACATGGAAAAATAACAACATGGAGAACCATTCTCCAGTCCAAGGTTGCTTCAAGAGAAGTGGCATGATTCAGTGAAGAAGTAGATGGATATATAAAAACAACATTAAAAAGATCTGAAAGATGAATGTATTGAGAAGACAAAAACATAAAAGAACTTACAGAAGATAAATTAATTATGAATCACAATATATTGAAACAACCCTCACATAAAATAGGCTCTGGAAGAACATAACATATTAGGAACAGGGATACTTCAGAGCCATCACCAATGGCTATCATTTATCAGAATCCTGGATATTCCTTGAGTTGATACAGTGCATTCAACTAGAGAAGAAGGTGGTCCAGTTGATGAAGAGAAACCATAAAAGCTATACTATGCATACTATTACATTATTCTTTTTCAGAAAAATATTCTTGAAATCTCACACAGTTCATATTAACAGAAACATGTATCTCAGAAATATAACCCAACTGACAACAATTACACA